GGGGGGATTTCAAATACCATCCATCCAATTATTAGACTAAAGATATCAATTCTATCTAACAAACATTCAGAGGCAAAGAAAAACATGTTTTTTTTTTAATCTTACTTGTTAAAACTAATAAATAACAGATACTTTTATTGTTTCTGCCTAAAAATTATTCATTTTATAAGGGAAGTTTTTGGCTTCTTAAAAACATGGATCCTAGTTAGAAATAAAGATATTCTTATTCTAAATAATTCTTTAACAACGATCTTTATTTAAAATCTCAAAAGTGTATTTCGCGTATACATTACAAGGGAAGGGCGTTAGGCAACCGCCTAACATTTCTCTTTCCAATGGTAAAAAGCGGTAGAAAATCCCACAATTTCATAGAAAATCCACATAACAGAAGACCTAACTTACTCCTAAACAAGGTTTAAGACAGTCTAGATAGTTCTTAAACTATCTGCGTCAAGGCAAACAAAAACGTCACAAAAAAAACCAGACGTGAAGAATTAAGGATTTTTTCTGGTCCCTCATAGTTACAAGTACGCGGCGGGTTTCCTGAACGAGGGTCGTATTGGTATCGCTGCGCAGATGATAGGTCTCTGCCAGGGCTGTATGGACGCCACCGTGCCCTACACGCTGGAAAGGAAACAGTTCGGAAAAAATATCTATTCCTTCCAGGTAAGAACAGCGGGAAACATCATATATGTGCTGCACTGGACTAAAAAGCACATGTTAACTATATTTTCGCCCGCGACTCGAACCGCGTGGGATTAAAAAAAACACAGCCTATTTCACTCACAATGGTGAAAGAATCTTTAAAATTGGCCCAGTAGTTTTTGAATTATTTCAAATCATACAAAATACAAGTATTTCTTTATATTACTATAGATAGCTGTTTCTCGCGATTTCGTCCGCGTGAAATTATAAAATACTAGCTTTCGCCAGCGTGGAATTAAAAAAAAAACAAAAGTGAGTAATCTATGTGTTCTTCTAGACTGTCCTCTACATCTATACCTAATTCCATCGAAATCCGTTCAGCAGTATAGGCTACAAACTCTAACAAATATCCATCCATCTAAACTTTCGCATTTATAATATTAGTATGAATACAAAATTGGCCTATGTTACTAATAACACAGCTTTTTAAAAGTGAAAGAATTCATCTGCCCGGATTTTCAATTATTTCGATTCATACAAAAATACAAACCTTTCCTCTTTATATATTATAGAAATACATTTTAATGTAATAATTTCTTACAGGGTATAAGTTACCAAATAGCGCATCTCCAGACGCAGCTGGAGGCGGCGCGGCTGCTCACGTACAACGCAGCCCGGCTCAAGGAGAATGGTGTACCATTCGTTAAAGAGGCAGCGATGGCTAAATACTTTGCATCAGGTAAAAAAAAGTTTCCCGTTGGACCATTCAGCCGAACGGTCCAACGGGAAACTTCCCAAATAACACGACCTTAATTCCTTTTAACCTTGACAATGTATAAAAAAACGTTAACAAATATGTTCGGGTAATTATTTTAAATTTCATTTCTCATGTACACTGTATATTTTTTGTAACAATGTGATATACCCTATGACACTCACGACAAATAGACCAATCAAATAACACCTCACCATACAAAAATAGTTTTGTTGTTTAGACTGTAAGCTGTAACAGAATTTTATAAAAAAAACTCACATACAAAAAAGAATCAACCTCTTTGTCAGACAGGATAAAAACATTAAAAAAACACGATTTGGTTTTAAAACCAATTTTAGAAAATTTCATAGAAAACAATAAATAATAATTCTTTATTATCTATGTTTAATTTTTATTTTTATTTCAGAAATTGCACAAACTCTAACATCGAAATGCATTGACTTTATGGGCGGTGTTGGATTTACAAGAGACTTCCCGCAGGAGAAATTCTTCAGGGACGCTAAAATAGGCACTATTTACGAAGGAACCAGCAATATGCAATTGCAGACAATCGCCAAACTAATCGAAAAGGAATATACACAGTAATTTCATATATACTGGCAATTTTTAATCAGTGTTGCCATAACTTTACGTATTTTTGTATATTTTATTGTAAATAAATGAATTTATTGACTTAATTTGGTTTTCTTTAAATTACTAACCTAAAAATATCTCTAACCCAGCAATATATACTAATATAATAAAGCGTAAACACACACTACTTTATGACGTAGGATGTCAGCAAATTACAGCATGTATTTGAATAATTCTCTAATAAAAACCCCTACACTTACATGCTTTAGGCTATACATTTTCACACTATTAAACTTAGGGGATAATTAAAATGAAACAAAACCTTCATGTGGGAAAGGGACCATAAACTACAAGCTGCCAACATTGAGGAAGCAAGATTATTATGGTAATGGTAATTGTTGAGAATTTGATAAATGAAAACAATAAAATATAATCTTTATTTCACAGACGAAACAGCTAGTTATAAAATTCTTATAAAAATGTTATTAACAATGTAGAATTTAATGGTAAAAAAGTTATTCCAATAAAAACAAAATCATTTCTAAGTCCATTTATTTACAAAGAAACTACATAAAAAGATTTTCAAATTCACTTTGGATCATGCGGAAGTTTGAAGCCAACCATTCTGGCTGTATCTTCTACACTTCTTTCACCTTTACCTTTAAACTCAGTATTAATCTCTTTATATCTTCTACTATTATGAAGATATGCAAAATAAGATTTAGCTTTAAAATGCATTTCATCAATAGCTTTGCAATGCTGTTGATCAGTTGTTTGATGTTTTTTATATTGTTGTAAAATGTATCGAACCATCTGATTCTCGGACAAAACTTTCGACGAACTCTGCTTTCTTATCTCAGATAATATCCCTCTTAACGTTACTAATGCCGGTTTAGTCGTTATCGACGCCATCTTTCAACCCTTAAAACAATTCAAATGTTCAATTTTTCAACCATCTGTGCTGTTATAAACTCTTCCATATCTTCATATTTAGGTTTGTCCGATTTCTTCCAAAAATTACAATCAACTTTAGATAATGTATCCTTTTTTATGTAGTGGATTGTTGTATCATTAAATATGTCTTTGTATTGAAAATTGTTGTCTAAAGTAACTTCATTAACATAGTTTGATAATTGGTAAATATAAGGAACTATTGCTTGCAATATTCTACTAGGATGATTTTCTACTAATGAAGTAAAACTATTGCAAAGGAGAATGCAATTTTCTAAACGAATATCCCAGTTACTCCAAAGAAAGTTGTTAGTTAATTGTTTAGGGCAATGTGGAAGGTACACTAAGGTTATATTTTCTTTAGATATTACATAACTTCCTTCATTATTTTCCACAATTACTGTCAACCCTAACCGTCTAAGTAATTCACATTCGCCTAAATAAAATATAGGATCGTGAACTAATACTTTAAGAGGTTTAAAAGATTTTTTTAAGCATAACAAAAAAGCTAGCTGATACCGTGAAATATTGCATTCTCCGATATGCCCTAGACCGAAACAAACTATTTCTGATACATTTCTCTCGTTTAAAATTGTACTCACTGCTTTAAAAACGTCGCTATAATATTGCGATCCTTCCAAATCTTTCACAGCAGATAAAGCTCGCCTGAAAAAAAAACAAATGTCAAACATAACCTAAAATAAAATTTTACTAAATAAAGTTCTAATTACTGATAAGATTTTTCAACGTTAATTTCGTTTTCTTCTTTTATAAACTGTGAAGCTTTGTATGGAACTTTGGTTTGTTTATACTTAGCAGAACGTTTTGAGGAAACTATTCGAAAACCATCGCTATCTATTTCTTGTTTTGACATTTTGAAAGTTTGCATGCCAACAAAAAAAACAAAACCGACTTCCAAACAAAATACACTAAAAACAAAACAAAATGCACTAAAAACAAAACAAAATATTCTCAAAATAAACAGTA